AAACGTGCTGAAAAGCATTAATAAGGATGGCCAATTATCGAATCAACGGGTTTTGCTCCATACCGACAGCCAGGTCGCAGATAATGCACTGCGTAAGGGAGGCTCCATGTCAGACGCTATCCAGTCAATATGCTTCCAGGTGTTTTGGTATTGCGTCAAGCATAACATCGACCTCGTCACCACGTGGATTCCGAGAGAGCAAAATGGCCTGGCGGACGATCTTTCTAAAAGGGATGATGCGTGTGACTGGAAGTTGCATCCAGAGGTGTTTGATTCCATCAATCAAGAGTGGGGACCTTTCTCGGTTGACCTGTTTGCATCTGATCACAATTACCAGCTTCAACCATACTATACGTTTTTTCACACTCCGGGTACTTCGGGTGTTAACGCGTTTTCGTTACCGTGGCCTCAGAGAGCATGGTGTAACCCACCTTTCGCAGTAATGAGCCGGGTCTTGGCATACGCAGCGCTATGTCGCACCTCCATGACACTAATTGTACCTTTTTGGCCGGGGGCCATTTGGTGGCCAGCACTCATAGAAAACGAGTTTGTTTTTCGTTCATTTGTATGGGGATGTTGGGTGCTGCCGAGGCGCCCGGATTTGTTCCTAGATCGCCAAGGCGAAGGTCATCTCACGAACTGGGGTGTGCTAGCTCTTAACGTGGATTTTTCGCGCGACTGTCCGTACGCGGTCCCGGTCCCAATTCGTCACTGACTACCGGCAGGGGAGGACATCAAGACCTTAGTGCGGGAGATGCTGAACGGCAGCATACTGACACAACACCCGCAGCTAGTCGCCCTGGTGGACGCTATGATCGAGAGCGCACATCTAACCCGAGCGGCAAGTACGTGGCGGCTCTACGAACCAGTTATCCGGAAATGGGTGTCGTTTTGCACCTCCATGGGGGAACCTCCTTTAGGCGCAAGCGGGATAGTCGCTGCAGCATTCTTGACAAAAGTACGGCAGGATGCAGCGGCGCGCAAAGTGGGGCACCAAGCAGTGGATCGGGCCAGCGCGGCGGTGTCTGCTTTTCACGAGCTGGCAGGCTTGCCTACCCCATGCTTACATCCCTTGTGTGCCGGAGTCCGGGAAGTCGCCCGTCGGACGCTGTCGGCAACCCCCAGGAACCTAGACGTCACAACCCCGACGGAAGTGTCGCAACTGGTGGAATACCATATCCGCGAAGGTGTACCTTTACTCACTAGAATGGTCGTCACAGGCGCAGTACTCGCATTCTGCGGCTTGCTCCGCTTTGACGATCTAAGCCACGTGCTGGTGCATACTGACCTGCTTCGCATCTACGGAGATCGAGTGGAGATCTTTTTATTTAAAAGCAAGACCGACCAGCACTGCAAGGGAGCCTTTGTGACTATCGGCAGAATCGGCGGGCCATACTGCCCGGTGCTTCTTTTGGAGCAGCTGCTGGAAGCAGGTCACTACCAGCGGACACCACGCACGTCGGTGCGGCGCAACGGAGTTGAAGCCGATGCAGAGGATGTCGGCCCATTGCTGCGCGCCGTCAACGTCCGGCGCAACTGCCTAGAGGAGGTCGTGGCGGCACTCCCGTCTACGGTCGAGGCTATGCCTTATCGCAAGTTCCGCGACACGCTCCGGACGCTATGCGTGGAGGCAGGCGTGCAGCGCGACTTGTGCCCACACTCCCTGCGCCGTGGGGGCGCCACGGCTCTCGTGCAAGGCGGCGCTGACCGGGCAGAAGTGCAAAAGCTGGGGCGGTGGAAGAGCAACACCGTTTTCGAGTTCGCATATGTCCGTGAGGATGGGGCGCGGCGGCGAGCAGTGACGGCACGAATCCCGCTAGGGCATATTCCCCGTAGCACCTAGACAGTCGGTTGCTTTCAAGAGTCCGGTGGTTGAGTGCCTAAGTGTCACGGCCGGCCACTGGTCCAACTTGAAATAACCGGTCATTAGTGGGGGGGCGCAGGGGTTAAGCCGATCAGCACGGAAAGCCGGGGGATGCTAAGCCGATCAGCGGGGCAGTGTAATCGAGGCGCAAGCCGCGGTTCGGAGTGGTGGTTGATGCAACTACGGTGGTAGATAGGTAGCACGGTGGCAGCGTCGGTTGGGGCCAGACCCGGTGGCATCGCTGCTGTGGTCCGTTTTAGTGTTAACATAGTGTAACAATGAGGACAAGAAGTATAACATTATGCCATTCCTCCTTTCTAGGTTGCCCACTATTCCCTACAGTGTTTTTTTTTGCGGAATATATTCCGAATTCGGAATAAAAAATGTTCGTGGTCCTGAAAGTTAAGAATAAATAATGTTCTGGCCGTGCAAGTTTATTCCTCCAGCCAAAAATGGACTGTCCATGCCAAAGCCGCTAGAATCTCACAGGAGACATACATGTTATCATAGTACTTTAATGCCATGGATACTGTTAGGAAGCTCACGCCCATAAGTCAACGAGGAATCGGACTGTTTCTGACCGGACTAAATGCTGCAAAGCATTCGGACCCAAAGCTCCCAGAGCGTGTTAGGTCATTAAAGCAGATATAAAAAATCACTGAGGCCATTAGCGACGTTAATGAAGACGGTATAGAGGTCGTAGGGAATGTGGGCGCAATGCTGCAGCCAGCCGATGAGCGGGCCAAACATCAACATCAACGTTCGTCATACCGTTTGGCAGTTCCGGTTCATTGCTGCTATGCATCATTACTTTTGCAACCCGGAAAGTCGTGTAGTGTTATCTTTCAACGTGATGCAAGACGAATGATGGTGACCGAACTCCATTCGATCAGTGTTTGAGAGATTGTGGTGACGCGTGTTGCGGCATTCCCCACGGCGTTTGCATGAAGTAAACTGTAACTCATCGGGTGGTTCGGGGGGGGGGCCGCCTTACAGATACTTTGATTCCTAGGGGTGCTACTGTAGTAGCTGGTACACAGTACGGCTCGATACCAAATGTAGTAGCTGGCCGCTGAAAGGCCTCTCGAGATGCTGGTGGTCGTGCTATGCGTGTATTTATAGAGCCATGCTGTGTACCGGCAACTACAGCTACATTGTGCCGGGCCACACTACTGCAGGGCAGGCGTGTGTGCTTACATTTCTTTGTCTGCGTGAATGATTGGATGTATGAATAAATGGGCGAATGAAAGGTGTGGTTAACATGCCCCTGGTTTGGTTCGGTTCGGGTGGTGGTATCTTTTTGAACACATGTAGTCTGGTCGAGTGCCGGGGGCCCTTAGCAGGACTGAAGCACAGTTCAAGACGAGGCGTGTGGATATGTCTGCTTGTCTGATCGAAGGAATGAATGAATGAATAGACCGGGTGTTAAATTTGTGAGCGACTTGCCTTGCAGACACATCTTTGGTTCTGGTCGGTTCGGGTGATGGTAAATTTTCGCACATACACACACAATGAATGTATGGGTGAATGAGTACGGAGTACGGTAACAAGGCCACACGCCTTGTTACCGTACAAGCATGTATGGATTTGAAATCAACAAACACACGAGAGATATTTGTAAGAGCTCCCCTTGTTTCGTAAAGTTCCTTCAACTCCCGCGATTCTGAATGCGCGCCTGAGAGTTTGGGGACAGACCCTGCAATTGGTCTAAATTGCTCTGTAGAAAGGTTTAAATTGGCACCTGGGACAAGTTGAATTGCCGGGACAGGCCCTTGAATTGGCCTGACAGGGATATGAATTGGCCTGGCAGGGACATTCCGACAGTCAGAATTAGGCTGACAGGGTGTCGAATTGGCCTGGCAGGGACATTCCGACAGTCAGAATTGGCCTGACAGGGTGTCGAATTGGCCTGGCAGGGACATTCGGACAGTCAGAATTAGCGTGTTCGGGGCGTCGAATTAGGGAAGCACGGGAATTGTGCGACCGGGGCAGCCAAAAGAATTGCTCTGCCCGACAGTTTGTCCTACCCTCTCTCCGACACCACCATCCGGTTGTGTTTGGTTAGATATACGTATATCTATATAGTATACTATATCGGCTCGCGAGACCTGCATTACTTGTACGGCACGATGTACATCTTACCCTACGCAGCAGAGCTGTATACTTTGTCCAGGTTTGGGATTGACCGGATGGTTCCATGGGCCTTATGTTTGCTTGGGCAAGGTGTTGGAACGAGGGTGCCAAAAGCCTTGGTGACGGCAAGAATGCGCAAATATTCTCGTGCAGCTGGTGGGTTTAATATGGGTGATACAACACAACCTATGCTACCCGCCCCGCCCCCTTTCATCACCTCGTCTGTTCTAACAGCTCCATGACAGACTAGGCGAGGGCTAGCAGCATACATGCATAAGTGTAAGGCTTCTCATACTACAGGAAAAACGAAGATAGCTAGCGCGGGTGCGAGATGCCCTTATCATGATCGATTATGTATGTATGACAGTGCATGTGTACGGAATGTACCTGTGATAGGTGCACACGCACCAGCTCTTGACCATACTTCGACTCCATCAGCACCAGCATCGGTAGCATGCCGAGCCCGCCAACCTACACATCCAATTGGCCATATCCACACATATCGGACATGTACGGAGTTTTAAATCAGGCTGAGGCATGTATGGCCTAAAAACAGACATATGTATTGAAGGCCAGGGCACAAGATGCAATGAAGGCAGGTGGTTCACCCTCACTTCACAAACGATGGTGACCAACCGTGCCGGGCAACATGCAGCAGGGTCGACGTTGCTTTCAGTGGGTCCGTTAGTTTGCCCAGGTAGTGTCCCACGCATGCGAGTAGGCTCTAGTACGTGCATACACTGCTTAATTAAGGAGAGCAGCTCGTGTTGCAGCACCCTTTAACGTAATGCTGTGGCAGGTGCAGTGGGCCAGATCGAGAGTGAGATGTTAAGAGTGAGATGTTAAGACTGTGCGGGTGCCAGAAGAAGCCCGCAGATTTCAATCAGGCCAGCAGAAGGATGAGTGAAGCAGTGGGTTCGGATCCCGTATATGTTCAGGCATAGTTAGGATCCAGGATTTCGGGATGCCCGGGTACCCAGGGTTATATGATGTACCCGGTGGGCGACATGTCTAACAAATAAAAGTACCTCCATCTCGGACTAAGACGGACTACATGAACAATCCCACGGGATTGCCAGGGAGCGCCCAAGGACGTTCGCTTGAGGGGGGGAGGACTGTAAGAAGGGATCAGCTCCCCTTGGCATCTCCCGCAAGTGCTCTTTGTCTGGTCTTACACGTTCATGCACATGCACATCTCCTTGCCCTTCCCTAACACTCTCACCCTGCCAATCCATCCAGTGCCCAGCATCCCATCCAACAACGACGCGATCATACCAGGATAAACTGTCCACAAGGACTGAAACAGCAGCAGCTGATGAGGAGAGTACCTTCGCCACCCTGCACTCCAAACTTGGTGCTGTTGCACAGCTCCCCTGTCTCGATGTCCCAAACATACAGCGCACCATCTTCACTGCTGGTTGCAGCCGCCCTGCCTGCAGCGTGGCTAATTGCACACACGTCCAGCCTCCCTGAAGCGCTGGACCTGTTCATTTCCTTTGGTGTATCCCCCGTGATGTTGTAGATGACGACACGACCTGACTGTAAGATGATGATAGCCCTTGCGCCGTCCTCTGTCGCAGCAGATCCACATACCTAATATGCACCAGTGTTCAGGTGATGGGTGTCTGGCAAGACGCACACTCGCACAGATATACATGATGGTGGACAAGGCATCACCGGCTACCTAAGAGAACCTCACCTAGAGCTACCTACGCAGTCCTCTTAGGCCCGTGTTTGCAGCAGGCCGGCATGTAGATATGCCGTACTATTCATGCTGTACTACATTATAGTACAGCATGCCATGCTGTCACTTTCGCAATCCAACCCTAACAACACATCTGTACATACGGGCGGGCAGACGGACGGACGGACATGCAAACAGACGGACAGACGGACGGCCAGACTGACATATGTCACACAACCGCCCATTGGCCCACAACCGTGCGTGTGCATGAGTGTTAGCCGCGGGCTCATGCAACAAATATAGCGGCCACTCGCGCTTATCTCTTCCAGCTTGGCAGCTGCACCCTCTCATGTGTTGACCCCACATACCTGGCTCATGCAATACATGTCTTCTGGTTCCCCCTCCACGAACCAAACATCTCCACCGATTGGTAGGTGTAGCCTCCAGACGATCTGCATATTGGAGGCATTCCAGGCCTGTACGACCTCGCCACAACTGGTCATCATTAGCAGTGTCCCTTCCAGCGTGTGACTTTTAAACGCAGATATGCTGTTGACAGGCTTTCGATGGAGGTCCTTTTGATCCTCGCAGATAGCCTTCCATTGCTCTTCCTCCTGCGCACAATTCACGTAAAAGGATGTAAGCAAAATAGCAATGCACAAGTACTACTCCACACCATGGAGACATGCCAACCAGCAGAGAAGGTTGTGGCAAGGAAAGAAATACATTCTTTATATCGTATTATTGCTGAGCCATCAGGGAAGCTCAGCACGCCTAGCATCAACGCATAAGCCGGCTCATCGAAATCTATCACATAGCACTGTATAACAGGAATAATAATTTACTGATGCTACAAGGCAGCAGATTGAAAGCTACAGCCCGTGCGGAAGCAAATCTTCTGGCATGGCCCATATAATACGGGTGCGTCGCGGTGATCCTACATCATTGCCAGAAGAAGCTGTGGGTACAGAATCACCTTGAAACATTTCCATCGTTGAACAGAACCATCGGCCGTGCAGCTGAAAAATACATTGCTGCCTGCTCCTTTGCATACTGTGAAGTTCGGATGCCCTAAGCTTACGCTGGGAAGAGGCGCTGGCTGCGAAGCACTGCTATCGACTTGGGTAACCGAGTACTTCCAAAGGGAGCGACTGCGTCCTAAATCCCATAATGATAATTCGTAATTTTCTCCAGCAATTAGGAGCACCTCGCCCAGTTCATCGAGCTTGACCCAATCGCAGGACCTCGGTCGGGACATGTCGACGGGAATCCGTCTATGGAAGGAAACGTTGTCATTGCTCCGATCCCAGCGATAAGGTAAAGCTTCTTGTGGCATGTCTGCAGTCATCCCAGAAGAATCAGCCGATTGGAACAAACCTTCTGATTGGAGTTGCAACTCGGAAAAAGGTAGAGCTTCTTGTGGCATGTCTGCAGTCATCCCAAAAGAATCAGCCCATAGTTCCGGTTGAACTATCCTGGCCAACCCTAGATCTGCAGGTGACCTTGAAGGCCGGGTCATCGAAGACATCTAGCACGTAATGGCGCCACACGCTGTCAAGAAATCTGTTAAGAAGTTAAGAAGTTAATGATAGTAGGTGTACATATTTTAGTCCCAATCCATGCGAGGCCATGTCGATGTACCCGAAGAATTCAGCAGACGGGAGTTTTGTACACACATTCTCTAATTTCAGGATATAAGGATTGTGTTCTACCTTTTGGAACTGAGGGCTCATGATTAATGCAAGTCTACTACTTTTCAGCAGGAGAGGCGGCTGCGCGTTCCTGCATGTACTGCATGAAGTTGCCTAGGAAGGACTTGCAGGAACATGTGCTCTCCTCGTTACAACAGCCCTTCTATCAATATATTCTTCAGTTCCATGGGATATGTGTGTGTGGTTGTTACAGTGGGCTCCAGACTCCCGAAGAGTAGAGCCATCGGGCTAGCTGGCCGTGCACTGCAGTAGAGACTATACAAATTAGACCATCACCTCAGATAATTAACCGTTCATCGGTAACCGCTCCCGTGAGCATAGCAATTTGCCAGATATAATTCTCAAGAAGGGGTGATGTGCGCCAACAGAATCCCAACCTTTCCGTGGAATTCCCAAAGCTGCGAAACCCTGAAGGCGGCCCCAAAAGTGAACAATAACTCGACAAATGGCTTCTTCCGTAAGGGAAGGGCCAGGTAACAGTGCCGGGTTGGTTTTCATGTTTGCAGCCATATAACTTCTCCCATGCTCCACAGCTGACACCGCAGCAAGAGCCACAACATCCCAAACACATTGTTGCACTGTTTGTGGGGCTTGGACAAGCCAAAGTTGCTCCCTTGAGACTGGCAATCCTATTGAAATAGTAAGTTGATCTGCTACTGCCTGTCCCACCGGACAGGCCCAGAAATGATGACAGCGAGGGGATACACCTCCCACTGAGCCTACTTGTAACACAGCAAAGGCGTAACCCGGGATGCTCAGATTGGCATTTGCGTCGTTACATTGCCCCCCACTTAGCAATGGACGTCCTCGGCCATTATTTCGAGCACAGGAGCCATCCCACCTCGCGCCAGTGCGCTGGTTTATCCATTACACCATGAAATCGCCAATTTGCGACTTGCTGGTTGCCAGAATCGAACCGCCGACCCGAAGTTTATTTCGGAATTCGTGCGGTCCCGTCTCGATACTAGAGCGCGCTGTTCGCGCGAGTGGGCCGTAGCTCCGTAGCATAGTGTAGCATAGTGTAGCATAGTGTAGCATAGTGTAGCATAGCGTAGCATAGCGTAGCATAGCGTAGCATATGCTTGCAGATTGCATCTGCTTGCAGATCGCATATGCTTGCAGATCGCATATGTTTGCACATCGAATGTGGCATATGCTTGCAGATCGCATCTGGCATATGCTTGCAGATCGCATATGCTTGCAGATCGCATATGCTTGCACATCGAATGTGGCATATGCTTGCAGATCGCATATGCTTGCAGATTGCATATGCTTGCAGATCGCATATGCTTGCAGATCGCATATGCTTGCAGATCGCATATGCTTGCACATCGAATGTGGCATATGCTTGCAGATCGCATCTGGCATATGCTTGCAGATCGCATATGCTTGCAGATCGTATATGCTTGCAGGTCGTATATGCTTGCAGATCACGTATGATTGCACATCGCATGTGGCATATGCTTGCATATGAAGCATTTGTGCATATGAAACACATGTGCATATGTGCATACGAAGCATAGGTGCATATGTGCATATGTGCATATGAAGCATATGTGCATATGAAGCATATGTGCATATGAAGCATGCATAGCGCGTACAGCATAGCGTAGCATAGCATCGCGCGTACGCATATCACAGCATAGCATAGATCGTATATGCTTGCAGATCGTATATGCTCGCAGATCACATATGATTGCACATCGCATGTGGAATATGCTTGCATATGAAGCATTTGTGCATATGAAACACACATGTGCATATGTGCATATGAAGCATATGTGCATATGTGCATATGTGCATACGTGCATATGTGCATATGTGCATATCTGAGCCATGTGGGCTGAATTGCACGCTGAATTGCACGCCAAATTGCGCGTTGCACGGCGCTGTCGCAAGCGTGGATTGCATATGCTTGCAGATCGCATATGCTTGCAGATCGCATATGCTTGCAGATCGCATATGCTTGCACATCGAATGTGGCATATGCTTGCAGATCGCATCTGGCATATGCTTGCAGATCGCATATGCTTGCAGATCGTATATGCTTGCAGGTCGTATATGCTTGCAGATCACGTATGATTGCACATCGCATGTGGCATATGCTTGCATATGAAGCATTTGTGCATATGAAACACATGTGCATATGTGCATACGAAGCATAGGCGCATATGTGCATATGTGCATATGAAGCATATGTGCATATGTGCATATGTGCATATGTGCATATGAAATGGTGAAGTGCGTGTGTTGAAGTCTGCACGTTGAAGTTTGCGCTTTATGAAGCGCGTACGGCATCAATTCCGACGCGGAATTGAAACGCGCGAAAGAAGCGAAAAGAAAGAGCAAAAAGCTGGAAAGTATTTCGGCACAGTGGCAAGGTGAATTGCGAGCATCGTCAAAGCTTACAAGCGAAGAACGGCGCTGTATGAAGCGCGTACGGCATTCACTCCGCGCGCGTACGGAGCATACGAAGCATACGAAGCATATGTGCGTGTGCACGTATGGTGAAGTGCGTGTGTTGAAGTCTGCACGTTGAAGTTTGCGATCTGCTAGCGCTGCATATCGCATATCGCATAAGATGCATATGTGCATATGAAGCATATGAAGCACACGAAGTATACGAAGCATATGAAGCATATGAAGCATATGAAGCATACGAAGAAAAAAAAAGGGAAAAAAAAGCGCGCAAAATAAAAGACGAGCGCGCGCTGGGGATTGAACCGGCGACGTGGTGGACAGATGGACGGACGGCGACTCGGCCTAAGGCCTCCGCTCCAAAAGTAGCCGTAGCGACTAGAGCGCGCTGTTCGCGCGAGTGGGCCGTAGCTCCTGTGCTGGCTGGTGGCAAATTCCTGCATTGCGCGGACCAGTACAGGCTATGTGT